TCGGCGGGTAGAAATCGATCTCTCGGGGGTCGAATTATCGCATCTTGTCGGAACGCGACAATTGATCCCTGAATCGACGCTTGTACTCCACCAGCACAGCTAGGAGTAAGCGCCGTTGACGGGAGCCGCGGAGGTCGATTTGCCACCGTCCTCACAGCGGCGTAAGTCGGCTCGGATACGTCAAATTCAGCTACACTATTCGCGTAGCTGAATTTGCGCATCTTAAATCGTTCCCCCTCCCCCGTGGTGAGGACGTAGCCTTAGAGAAGATTAATTAATTATTTATTAATTAATAAACAGAAGCAAGGATGGACCAGTGGTTAGGGCACCTGCCTAAGACTTGAGAGCCCCAGGTTCAATTCCCTGCACTGCCACAGACTTTGTGTGTGACCATGGGCAAGTCCCTGAGCTTCTCTGTGCCTCTGTTCCCCATCTGAACAATGGGGACAATAGCATCACCTTATCTCACAGGGGTATTGAAAGGACAAATCCATTAAAAACTGTGATGCGCTCTGAGTTCTGCTGATGAAGAGTGCTACATAAGAGGTAGGTATTTGTTATTATTAATAATTTCATTTAGGGTGTGCAATTTCTGCCCCACCAGAATAAATTAGCTCAACTTGACCATTGCAAACACCTACTTTTTGACAGACGTCCATGTGCTTTTTGAGCCCAACAATGGTTTTCCTGGTTATAACGCCGCACGTAGGACAGACAACTTCTCCTTTCTCATTGATCTCCCGCTGCCATTGGTCCTCTGGGTTTGCTAGAGGGGGAAAGAAAGGCAAAACAAGTAAAAAGTTTGGTGCTAGAGGGACAACACTTTTTCCAGAGTAAAGCCCTTTCCAGGATTCATGAATAAGAGAAACATCAAGGTTCGAAAGGTTGGAAGCCGCTGAAGTTGTCAAATGCAACAAATCATTCATAGAAAAGCCCCCAAATTGCAGACCACATTTCCAAAATTACAGGTGCAAAAATGCAGTTGGGTGCCTAATTTGCACGTAAAATTATTGCAACGGCTTGGGCAAACGGAGCCATTTGCACAGAGTCATTTGATTTGCATGCCCATTTTTGTGCGCAATGGGGAAAAACATATATTTCCAATAGCTGATCTTGTAGGGAAGTTTCTGCACTTTGGTAATTCATGCACCAGGATGTCCCTGTTTCATGCATGGAGTCAGGCTGCTAGCCCATGTGATGGCAATGGGGTTTACAAACCCCATAACGAGCATAGGCAGAAGGGAGAAGAGACCAGGCTGAGCACAGCTGCAGACTTGCCGATCGTGGAGGCATGCACCCTCAGCTGGGACCGAGAAGGAAAACAAGCCCAGCTCTAAAGGAAGCAGAACAGAGGAAGATAGGGATGCCGAACGGACTGGGATAGCTGAGGGGTAACAGCCCCATACCGGGATGCCTCTAAGAAACTGAGAGGGAGACAAAGGAAGACTGCAAGCCCTGGAGTTTAAGAGCTGACTGACTCATTTCAGGTTAAGTTGAGACGAACAGGGGGAGACCAGAATCATGTCCCCCAGATATGGACTGGCAACAGAGCTTCCTTATACACACCAGGTGTGATCATCATCAGATCCTTTTAACGCTCTGCCTGGTATGGCTCAGACTTGGTTAAATAGGTAGTTCATACACAGCGCTACCCAGGGGCTGAACAGTACAATGCAGTGTAGCATTCCATTACATCTCCCCTTTAAGTTCTACACGCCTACCATTTCCCATAGTGACATTATCTGCTACCTTTGTAGTTCAATACAGATCAATCTGTTGCATGTTGCTGAATCATCCTGGTTTTCTAATTACATGACCCAAAAATGTAACAACTTGTTCATCTGGCTGTCCATTAGTTGCAATGACTGGCTGTGGTGGGTTTGGAATCCTGGATTCTTCTTCTTCTTCTGCATCTGTAGTGTTGCTCTGTGCTGTTCTTTCTGAGGAGCAAACTGGAGACATCAACCGTTTCTGTTGAACTCTTCACTGTCGGTCTTGATCACATATGATCGAGTTTTTCTTTGAGACAGCTGGTGTTGCCCATCCTTTTTCTACATCCAATTTGACATGAACATGGTCACCCGGTTCTAGAGGTGGCCATTCTCTGAGTGGTATCTGCTGTAGAAGTGTTCATAAGCTCTTTTAGATTTTTTACCTGATTTGGCTACTCTCTTCATGTCTGGCCACTTTGGAAAT